GTTTCTTGCGAGTCTCGTTGGATGATGAATCCTTCACATGGATCAAGCTGGTCAAAGCTTCCTTCAGATCTCTTGCACTCGGCTTTCGAACATCTTGGCTTTGCAGATTTTCAACGAGCTAAATCTGTTTGTTCATCTTGGGAATCTGCTTCTAGACAATCCGCACCAAAAAATCAAATCCCTTGGCTGATTCAGTTTCCGGAAAAAGGTAAAGATTATGGTCTCTTGCTTAATCCCGAAGAAAAAGACGACAAGATGTATACAATTCGAGATCTCGGTGTCAACTTTGCAAATAGTCATTGTTTGGCGACTTATGGAAGTTGGCTCCTGATGCGAGATCCTCGATATGATCTCTACATTTTTAATATATTCACCCGCGAAAGGATCGATTTGCCCTCCGTGGAGTCACAACTTGGCGTGATAAAGATAGAACGAACCCTTGATGATATGTTCTTTGTAAAATTAAGTGACGACGATATCGTATGGCATGACACCTACATCGAAATGGGCTCCCCTTTACTCTGGACGGACGAGAAAACCAAAGATTATGTGGTTATGTGGATAACCGAATGCCGAGATGATACGGTTTTGCTTCATTCCAGAAACGGAGATAAGTTTTGGAAACAAACTAAGCTTTTCAACAGTGTACTTGACATGGTATACAAAGATGATAAGCTTTACTTGTATGAATATTCTCGTGATGTTAAAATCTTAGATTTTTCTGGAGATAGTCCGCCACAAATCATCTTTGAGACACAAGTTACGCGTAGACCATTTAAAATGCCAAGGCGCGTTTACCCAGAGCTTGGTGATGTGTGGAATATCAAGAAAGACCATCTTGTAGTCACGGTGACTGGAGAAATCCTAAGAGTTAAGAGCATAGTAAGGAGTGATGATTCTCATGTTTGGTCCTTCCGCATTTACAAGATGGATTCATCAAAAGGTGAGTGGGAGAAACTTACTTCTTTGGGAGACGAGGCAATACTCCTGGATCTAGGTATCACCCTTCCTGCAAACACCATCCAAGGTGTCAATAGAAATTCAATATATTTCAGTGGTGATCATGACCGTGCTTTTACTGAATTCGATCGCCTTTGGAGTGAAGAAGATATACTTATCTTCGATCTCGACACACACATGGTTGAAAGACCACATCCAACAAGTATTTGCTCGTCCATTCAAACATCTGATGCTCGATGGTTTGTCCCAAATTCCTAACCAAGATAACTCATCTCAACTTTCTCCTA